ATGCGCAAAAACGTACAACAATTACATACAAATATTCTTCTTTGTTATACGAACGCAGGCGATATTGGAAATGAGTTCAGTTGCAGGGCATATACTTTTATGAACGCGGCGAGAAATCGGTTTGGTACTTCTAAGTTGGTTTGGGTTAGGTTAGGTTATAAGGTCGATCCTAACAGGAACCTCACTTGAACAGCTTAGTACGCCGGTTCGTTGTTTTATCCGAAACTTCTGTATAGAAGATCATAAGACCCTTACAAATCGAATAAGTCTTTGAGTTCATCACAAATTTATTTGAAACGGCTTATGTCAGATTCGGCTATGTCTGCTGATGGTAAGATTGCCTAGATGTTTCAGCCTCAGACATGCAAACGCTGGACAATGGAGAAAAAAGGAAGAGCGGGAGATAACGCTACAGGAACTAACGAGTTAAAGCGGAACCAGCCACAGGCAGCCAAAGTACAACGCTCCACCATAAATTTCGTTCCGGTGGCAGCAAGTTAACACAATTACTCGAAGAGGCATTCAGATAACGGTGCTCTCCGCAACAACCCGACAGAGCTCTTGGCGTCTGAAGAGCTAACAGAGCTTGAAGAGTGCATCATGGTTGAGATTTGCAGGGGTGTGGAGTTCAGTTCTTTTTAGCGGAGATCACTCCGAAGCTAGAGGGTTGGCAAGGTTCAGTCCGACGCACAAAGTGGGGTGAAGAGATGACAAGTCATATAAATTCATCCTGCAGAAAGGGTTTCGAAGCTTAAGCATAACCAGGAATAAAGGATGCAAGTGGACGAGGAACCGACTCATTCCGGCATCTACTCAGCTGAGCACGTTGCGCTTGCCGCTGTCGTTGTAAATGGCAGGTAGGTTGCAGAGGCAGGTAGGTGAGGACGAGGACCTGTCTCTCATCGAACCAATTGTGTGACCTCTAGCGCCTGCTTAGAAGTGCCCCAGAAGAACCTGCACCAGCGACAGCAGCCTCGGTTATCATCGCGAGGAGGTCTACCTTCAATAAGAGACTGTCCACTTCATTCTGAAAGGGATGGAAAAGATTATGGACAACAAATCCACTAATACTGCTCTGTACCAACTCACAGCTGAACTCCAGAACACCTAATCTGGTTGCCGCAGCCTAACGGGGTAGCCGGCAATGAACTGGCCGGATTTAGGAGCTGCTGCTCACGGAGGAGAGAGTGGAAAGGAAGGCAATAGGAATGCGCCATGCCAACCTGTGGGGGTATATGTAATATAGGAGAGGGCACAATAGGTAAGTCGCAGTGCAAAACCTCAAGTTTTACTATCTACCTATATATAGGCCTTTACTGGACCAAAGTAGTAGCAACTCGAATGCCATGCATGCAGTAATCCAAGCGAACAGTTTCACACGGTCTAATATGAGTAATCCTGGCTTATAGCTAATATTTGTGACATCACAAAGAGCCATATGTCCCTCAATTGCATGAATAAACCCAAGAAATAATTTTACTTATAACTTAAATTGCTTCCTATGCAAGTTTCCGCTAATAAAGGGGTACTTCTGCCGTATACAAAGTGCATAAAAGCCAATGTGCCAAACTTTGCTGAATTTTATTATCTAATATAACAATCATTTGTTGTTGTAGACTTGAGTTTTTCAAAATATGGCACTTCGTATCGTGATGGCCGTAAATTTTGGAGAGCGCATTTCATGATTGCTCACCTAATTGCAATTATCTTTGCCAGCCAAATCACGGCTTCCGGCTAATTACCACAATCAAAGCAAACTTTGACACTAAACAGAGACAATAATTAGAACGGCGAAGTTCCGACCGAAATACAAATTGTAAATTAATACAAATTCGATAATAATGCTTTTGGCATTGTTGTTGGTAAGTGTGGTTAGGGAATGTCAAAGGTGAGGAGAGGTGTAATTGTAAAGGTGCGGTCACTTAGTGAGTGGAATTATCAAAATTTTGGAGGTATGAAGGTTCAAAGAAGCCATAGAGTAAAGCTAACATAATCATATGTATTAAAGTTGTCAGTCTTATAACTTGAATACTACCACAAATCGTGAAAATTCGACCAACAAGGATGCTTGAAACCCATTTTAACGGAGTATAACTTTACAGTAGGGAAGAAATTTTATTTTTAAATGCAGAACTAGAGAAGTTCACTACATTTTTTGATAAAAGTATGCAGGAAGTCAATATTTCTGACTATTTTGTTATTTTTTCTGTGAGAATGGCGCCTAAAACTAGATTAAAATTATCGACTAGCATACTTTAAGGCGCTGCCATTGAATGGCGTATCTGATTGTCACTATTTGTGATTTATTGGCATTTTATACACCTACTTGCCATAAAGCTGTGATATCCAAGAGAATTTGTATATACATACACATAAACATATGTATGCAAATGCATGTATGTGTGTGTGCACATATATATGTAAGTGTTTGCTAAGGTCTGCAGCAACTTGAAATATAAATGCGTAACAGCTGTTGAGCCATAAATACATACTTGTATACCGCTATAATTTGATCCTTGCTAACTTTACACCTCTCTGTCAAGCCACTTGCTTCGTGTAACTGTTTCCTTTGCGTATCTGTGCCTCGGCACTTTTAAGGTTGAAGCGGCTCACACTTTCTAAGCTGATTTTGGGTTTTCAGGCAGTCACTGCTGTCAATAAATTTCATACGAAAGCGATATGCTTCCTCAAGGACGCACAGTACTACAAATATACACATACATATGCGTGTACATACATACAAATAATCGGTTTCGGTGGCACAAGTATTTCCGCTTCAACTTTTATTTGAATTTTTTTATTTTTATTTTTTTCTGTAGTACAACGATGGTTTTATATACAACATATAACTGTACATGTGTGTTTGTATATGCGGATTTGTACACGAATGCAAACACAAAACAAACAACAATATCGAAACTTTCCACTCGACAGCACCTTTGGCAAGTGACTTCCTTTTCCGCCACAAACACACGGCATAACTGTACATATGTGCCCATAAATGTGCATAACTGTGTAATTGTGTGCAATTCATACTTACGTATATGTATGTTTACCCAGGTGTGTTTAATATTTGACTATGACGGTTAGCTTCGGAGGCTGTCGGAGGCATTGGTGCGATTATCTTCGAGTAAACTATAGAAAGTGTAGACTTTCAGGTGTGAACGTATTCGTCTTGTGTTTTTAGGCCAAATATTTATATACATTTTAATAATACAATATTTATTTTGAAAAACAATTTTTTTTAATTTTGAATGCTATCATAATTTCTCCTCGGAGATGATTTTTTTATATTCAGTGTTGTTGTTGATGATTTATCACGAATTTTTAATATTTGGTCAAGAAAATAATTTCCGAAAAAAAATTTTTATCAAAAATCCGGTTCCCCTATAGCGACCTTAGTGCTTTGAGGAGTAAAGGGGAAAGGAGAGGAATCATGGACAATTCTTCCGGCACCTCAAACGTCGTAGGAATATTGGAAATTTCATAAGCAGAGGCTCGCTGATGTTTTAAGATATTTTTGTAACAGTAATCAACAAAAAAAAAAAAAGAAAATTCCTTCAATACAATAATAAATAATTGTCGAGCTTTTTATTTATTTTACAATAATTAATATTTTGTAAATGTGAAATACAAAACTGCATATAATATTAATAATACGCATACATGAGCAAAGTATTCAACTAAGGCACTAATTTCAATGAAATTGTTCTACGCATGTGCATTTACGCACACGATAACTATGTCTATAATAATAGAAATCGTTATCCGTTGAGAAAATCTTCGAGAGCATCTTTGGTGGTGGTGTCCTCCAAAACAACTTCTTCGAGTGCAACTGGCAGTGATGGCTCTTCCTTTTGAATTTCTTAAAAAAAATATATTTATATTTTCTTTGCCTATTTTTTTAGGACTCTCCAAATATACTTACTAGTTAGCGCACCCTTCGACTTGAACTCAGCCAAATCGCCACGGAATGCATCATCAAATACTGCTTGCCTTTCTCGTTGTATGCGCCGTAAGTTTTGTTCATGTTGTCTAATCTTCTCTTGATGCTTTGCAGCAACACATTGCCGATATGATTCTAATTCAACTGTAAACAAATAAATTGTAGAAGGGTATAACAGCGGAAACAAAATTATATATGCACACCCATTTTCTTTTGTTGAAATTGTGATAATTCACATTGCTTATTTAGCATAAACTCTTGCAGTTCACACTCCTCACATAAGTCCTCCAAACGATCTAACTCTGTTTCCACCGTCGCGCTTAATTTATTAACATTTTGTAATGTTTCTAAGCTCTCGTGTAATTTCGCTACCAATGCAGGTATGCCGGCTAAACAAGTCGCCAAATCAGTCATATCGGTATGTAACACATTTGTGTTTTGTCCAATTCGTTCAATTTGTTTGGCAACTTGTGCCGCTTTCGACGCATTATTCTCATTCGCTTCATGCATTAATTTCCACGCATCTTCGTATTTCGCAAGTAAATTGCAACCAGCCGCCATATTCACATCTCCGGGCAGTATCAGATCACTTCCCGGCAGTTGCCCACCAAAAGAGCTGGAACTGCGATTGCTGTGTATACTTTCATCTAAAGTGGGCGTAGTAGCACTACTGCTGGCGGAGGATGTTTGGCTTTGTCGATACTGTTGCTGTAAGTTTTCTGTGATGATAAAACCCTCCTGAATAACGCTATTCAGTTTCTTGCGTAGGCTACCAAACATTTTGTTGGTGATATTTTGGCACAACTCTTACAAATACAAATTATTTGTAATGAAATGAAGTCAAATTATTGGTAAACAGAATCAGCTGACAGAGCAACGTCAACAAGCCACAGCCGAGTTGCCAACAGTCAGAAATTTATGTAAAAGCAGTTCCATTTGCTGCACCATTGGCAGAGCACAACTTCTTTCTTAAGTTTGATAAACATTTCTGACTTACTAACCTAAGCCAACCAAACGAAAGAAGTTATTAGAAAGAGCAGTGTTTTCATAGAAATTTATTCTTTAAATTCATATATAAACAATTGTGCTATAATTATATTAAWATACATACATACATGAAACTTAATAATTACAACGTAGGAAGCAATTAACTACAATGACCTTGCGCCGCTCGTACATTTCCCTTAACTGTATAATCGCAGTAACTTGAACAACCGTTTTATTGAAAATAAAAATAATAATAAAATAAAAATATGATATAATCAGATCCGTTCTTATAATTAATAGATATATGTTGCAAAATTCACATTGAAATTGTTAAAAATTATTTGACACACAAAAGGAAATTCAATAATTTCTGTTATACATATGTATGTATGTTGTTCAAAAACTGGGGAGCCTAAAAGTACTATCAAGACATTTGCTCATTTACTGTCTCGGACTCAGTAATTTCCCACTGATTTTGAATTTGAACTAAATGCAATTCCGTATTACCTATTGTACTTTGAGGTATTAGCGGTGATAATGTAGGCATTGAACTTACTGACCGATCAGTTGGTGATGAAGTTGATGCATTTGTTGGTATTTCGTCTACTGACTCCTTTAAGGCCACATTAGCAACCTTATTGCTCAATCCAATTTCCGATATCGATTCCAATGCCTCAACGTGTGTGCCAACAGTAGTCATACCACTTGAATTCATTTCACACCGTTCTTCAGTATTTGGGTTTGTAGATGTTACAAATGTGAGTGGTGTACTGTTGCTGGCTTTCAGTGAATCAAAATTCAATGTCGTTGTCCCAACATCTGTATCAGCTGTTGTCATGGCACTTGAACTAGATCCACACTGTGCGTCGGTAATAGGGTGGTTGGGTGCTTCAACTGTTAGTGATTTCCTATCATCGGCTTCCAGTGAATCAATTTTCAATTTCAATGCCGCTGTCTGAATATCTTTATCAGCAGTCGTCACTTCGCTTGAATTTGTTTTACGCAGTGCTTCAGTAATACGGCTCGCGGGTGCTATAAAAGTGAGTGATGTACTGTTAGTGGCTTCTAGTTTATCAGTTTCCTTCATTGAGTCTTGTTGTTCTTGCACTATACATATTGGCGTTACACTTCCCGCTTCATCAACTTTTATTGGCGGAGATAAACATTCAGTAGCAGTTACTAATGAGTCTACTTCAACTGACAAGTTGGAAGCCTTATCAGGCACTGTAACAACCAAATCGTCTATAACTGTTGAAAGACTGTCCTTTGGCAGTGAAATTGAATTAGTCTCAGGTACAGGTAACACTAAACTCATTTGTTGCACTAATGCTGGCGTTGAATCTGTCGGCTGAGTTGTTGTTGCTGCCATAACTGAGTCGGTTAATTGTTGTACAGACTCATCAGCGCCATTCATATTTATAATTTCGACCTCACTATCAGACGAGCTGAGTAGTGTAACAGTTTCCGGTTCAGCGTGACAAACATTGTTATTTGCATTTGTAACATTTGCACTTGCGGAATCTTCTTCGTTAGTTGAACTTTCCGACTCACTGTCATCACCTGTGCTTGTCTCAGATTCGGATGTTATACAAACACAGTCCTCATTTTCTGTTTGCTTTTCTGATCCACCTTTTATATCTGACATTTTATCACCGTTAGAACTATCCGAGTCTAATTCCCATATAACTGCATCCGAACTATCACTAGGTATTCGCTCCTCCAGATCTTTTCTTTTCACCTTCTTGTTTTTTATACTTTTGTCGCCTTTAGTTTCACTGCTACTGGATGTGGCGGATGATAGACTTATCTGTAGCATCTCACTACCGTCGGAATCACTTTCATTTAGATTTAATGATGACACCGCACTACAAATCGACGCCTTTTCTTTTTGGGTCTCAGTTACTTCGGCGTCACTTATTTGTAATTCCTCTTTTAAGGCCTCGATTTCGGTGGCTTGGTGACCAGCCATCAAAGCGTTATAATATAACAGTTGTTGCATTTGATGATGCCTGTAATTATTGGCCATTAAGGCAGCATCAAATTCCATGGCAGCACCAAATTCCATGGCAGCATTTATATCTGGTTCATAGTAGACCTCTTCTGTATCAAATTCATTTGTGTTCTTTTCTGTTTGCAGAACCTTACACTTTTTAGATTTAGATTTCTTCCGTAATTTACTTTTCTTACTTCGGCAGGTGCTGCTGCTTGTATTACAGCTATTTTCACTACTACTCTCATCACTGCTGCTACCACTGCTGCTTCTGGCACGTCTTTTTTTCTTACTTTTATGTTTCCTCTTTTTAAGTTTTTTGTGCTTATTATTTCGAAGTTTCCTGTCGTGTTGTTTTTGTTTCCTTACTTTCTTGGAATCGTGTTCGTCTGAGGAGCTACTCAATACAAGCTCCAAACTGCCTGATCGACTTCTAGAATTCAATCTATTAATTTTTTCTCGCCTCTCATCGAGTTCTTTCAACTTTCTTCTGCAATTCTCCTGAGTTCTGTCATTTTTACGTTTGTTATGTGACAACACTGAATTCAGCGTACGTCCAAGGAATCGCTTGTTTGGCTTTGCTATCGGATTTATCTTGCGCTCCTGTACATCAGGCTCTTTTATTTCGCCCATTTCGCGCACTATTTCAGCTATTGCTAACCTGAGGATATCGAAAATTTTACATATATTTACTTGCAAATATTATTCACCGCATTACCTTGTAAGTTCCGCATCATCCATGACAAATTATTTATTTCTAAACCTGCTGCGCTAAATAGTCCAAAAGTAAAAGTTTCTACAAATTCGAAAGAATAATAACAAAACCAGCTGAGAATCCGAACGTAGCCAGACTTTACGAATAATCGAATTTGCAAATAAACACTTGTGGTCAAATTAAGTTCTGCAATTGTAGAACTTCGACGTACACCACACGACCAAAATTTAAACTTAATTATATACATACTAAATTTCTTATTCATTAATTATAAATTATTTTTTAACTTAATTATTTATATTTGTTTGCAATTAATATTGTTCATTGATTATTATATATATTTATATCGTATGTTTTCCAAAGTAATATAATCATATGCAATCAGGATTTGTTTTAATTTTAGGCATATCAATTCGGATCATTTATCGAAGTATGAGTGATAATAACTTTCTATGCAAATGTGTCTTCTTCGCCTAGAATGACAATTCATATTTGAACAACGAAGCGAAAAAAGTCAAGGGTATACCATAATCAAAGCTTTGCTTTTATAATTTCTCTCTAGTAAAAAGTTTTATGAGAACGTGCTCCTACAAACGCGTGCATCGAAATTTCCTGTCAAAACCAATGTTTGACACAGAGCAAAGCAAAAGTTCTAGCTGATGCAGCCAAAATTAATTACTTATTGCGTTAGTGTGAACGTCAAATTAGAAAATTTTAAGATGAGATATTTAACTCATCTGGGCGACATCTGCCGCTTGACTGTACTAGAATTAGGTTCCACTTTGAACAAAATTTAACGCAATTTGATAATATCAAAATGTAAAAATACAATATGCACAATTTTCTCGCATATCTTATAAGATGTTTTCCATGTTGTCCCCGGGTTTGAGCGTTTGTATTAAATTTTAGTGACTTTGTTTCAATTTGGAATTAAATTCTCACCGATTTTTCAATATGTTTGGACTGGCATCACTGCTACTTTTCAATCCGTTTTGTGGACTGTAGAACGACGGAAAAATCATTCGAAGCGTGGTTGAAAATTTGTCGACTCGTACTCGTTCTTGCGAATTTTTTCAAGGCGAATAATCTAGTGCAATAGTGCTAAAAATTCGTTTTGTTCATATTAAAAGTGAAGTGAAATAATGGCTATATATTGTTTTATAAAGAAAAAGTGTGTAAAATAAGTGTGAAGTGAGTAAGCCGAAAAATTCTCGAACGCTTTCGAGATATCTGATTGTGAGTGGCAATCGCTGGGGAGAAGAACGAGAAGAGAAAAAAAGTTGGAAAAGGGCGCTCCGCTGGCAATTTACAGTAATAAAAAAGCAACTTCACCTCAAATCAGATAAACTCAACACTCCCGCTCACTTCACGTTCCACTCGGCGTTCCAATAACTACGAACATATACACACAGACATTTTGCTAGCAATACGTTCATTATAGGCGGTGCGTATTTACGGGCGCGAATTCAGTCGCAACGAGTGAAATATTTTTTTTTCCTATATTATCGCTTTTAGCGCTATAAAGTTAAGAAAAATAAATAAATAATTTGTGTGCAATTATAAAGACAAAGTTTACGAGTAATATTAACTCTTCGATATTTACAATTGTATTGCCGATGTAAGTCTACAAAAGAAAAATGTGAGTGATATAAAACAAAAAAAAATTATTTGAGTTAATTCACAAAATCAAATCACATTTAATATATGTACAAATATATGTATATATATACAAAACGATGCGGTTATATGGGTGAATTGGTAGACAAGTGAATATGACTGCTTATTTGCCATATAAAGTCTTATTTTAAGTCCTCAATCTGACGACGCACGACATCGGTCGTTGCTGTCCGGTGCTGTGGATGCTAGGTGTCGCCATGTTGCGTTCAATTGTCATTGCGTTTTATCAGTTCTCTTTCCTATGATATTCGCTGATTTTATTTTATTTTATTTTTTTTCATTTAATTTTCTACGTAAGAGAATGTAAAGAAAAAGTGCTAAAAGTGGGTGAGCAGATAATTTATTAAATCATAGGAGAAGTTTTCATACGTATTAATATTTTCAAAGTAATTGTTGTGTGTAATTGGAAATACGTTAACTGTATTAGCGGTAATAGGCAGTTTTATAAAGCAGCTAATATATGGTGTCCAATTACAAGGACGTTATAAGTTTTTTTTTTATAAACGGCATGAAAATAGACAAGCTTTCATCCCCTATAAATTATGTGTGTATCAAAGTTGTTGCAGAATAATATTAAATATTTTAGAAAATTTCTTTTCCAAAAATTTATCATGTAATGTTATGGAAAATAGTACACAGTTAGAAATCTTACATATATGTGCTCATTTCCAAAGCAAAAAAGAACGCAGCCCGTTAAACCACACAATAATTTTTTGAGGTTATGATCAGTATACGGCCACCACTTGTTTGTCATCACTTATTTGTCTTGCGATTAGTATATGCCAGTTATAATCGCTTACTGATAAATTTAACTTAGAAGCATTGGTGCATATTTCTTAGTTCATGTAATTTTGCTTACAATTTCATGCATTAAAATTTCCAAATTCCATATAAAGATTTTGAATTTCCCAAAAAATATAAATTTTTGGGGTTTTTGTTTTTAGGTACCCCATACGAACGCATCTCCACCCGCTAACATCAGCCTTGTTATAGTTGGGAAGTCTCGTGAGTTAATCATGGTGTCTGCGCTTAAACATTTTTTATTACTTAGTAACGCCTTTTCGTCTTGATGTGTTAATTGGTTTACACTTTTGCAGTCATTTACTTTTTAATTTCTCAGCAAATATGTAAAATTTCGTATAATATTAGGTGTGGGTCAAAATCGCAAATAGAAAATGAAAGCACTTAAGTATATTTTTGTTCTCAGTTTAAAACTTACAAGCAGTAAATCTATTTAAAATTGTCCGCATTTGGTTATGTGAATTATGTTTAAAATCTTATCTAACAGTTTCATATTTATTTACTTAATTATCATATTTTGCAGCTAGCATCTTATAAATCGGGCTTAAATACGTTGATTTCAACTCTGCCGATGCAAATGCTGGCATTTTCAGTGTAATTACCACACTGCCAAACGAATTTGCAAGAAACCTTCTTATTTCTTTCGTTTATTTTCGTCGATGTTGCAATTTGATCTATATAAAAGACAATAGTTGATTATTTAGCGCAACGCTTCGTAACGGACGACGCGAAACTCCAAGCGGTTTGCGCATACAATTCCCGTTCCGTGAGAAGAAGACTGTTTTGAATGGATCCTTTTGTCGGCTGGTTTCAAGAGGAACAGGAGGGTCCAGCATTACGCACATGGTGTAAAATTTGGGAGACCAATGCGCATGATATGAGCCAATTGTTGGAACAACAGAGCCAGCAATTACAACAACTGCAAAGCGTTGGAAACGGCAAATTGAACGGCACGTTAAGTGCACGCGATCGTGATTCTTTACAATTGCTGCTACAGCAAGTTGGCAACGGCGGCCTGCGCAATTCCATATATAATAATAATAACAACAACGGTAGTAGCGGCACAAATAGTGGCAATACATCCAGCAACAATTCTATTGACTCGACGAGTAACAACGACTGTATCACACCGGCCACTACACCAGTCGTAGGAGGCGGGGATAATAATAGCACGAAAATGCCGTCACACGATCGTCCAAGCTATTACAATCCATCGCGCAGGAAAATTGGACGTATAGTAGACAATAAAGCGAGCACATTCAACGTCAACAAATATATGGGTAAATTGGTAATTAAGTACAAAGGCTGTCCTTGGCGTGTGCCGGGCTTCGAGTATGGACGCGGAGTTATCGGTTTACATCAGGAAGTCGAGCAGTTTTACAATTACGTATTACCTACGCCCACCGAACATGCCATACGCAACGAAGTCGTACAGCGCATCGAGGCGGTGGTGCACTCAATATGGCCAAAAGCAATTGTAGAGATATTCGGTTCCTTCCGGACGGGTCTGTTTCTGCCCACATCGGATATTGATTTGGTTGTTTTAGGTGAGTGTAACCTAACGTTAAGAAAACCATAATTCATCTACAAAGAAGCCAAATTTATTTGATTGTTTTTGTTGAAATATACTAAACAAATATTTATAATTTAAAAAATGTAAATAACAGTAAGTACATATGCATATATTTTCTTTCCACGCACAGGGTTATGGGAAAAAGCGCCATTACGCACGCTCGAAACAGAACTGATTGCCCGCGGCATTGCTGAGCCACATTCGGTGCGTGTACTCGACAAAGCCTCGGTACCCATCATCAAGCTCACAGACCGCGAAACACAAGTGAAAGTCGATATTTCATTTAATATGCAGTCCGGTGTGCAATCGGCCGAATTAATTAAGAAATACAAACAGGAATTTCCACTGTTAGCGAAACTGGTGCTTGTACTGAAGCAATTTCTGCTTCAACGTGATCTCAATGAAGTTTTTACCGGTGGCATTTCCTCCTATTCGCTGATATTGATGTGTATTAGCTTCCTACAATTACACCCGCTGCAAATCGATCATGACAAAGCAAACTTGGGTGTGCTGTTGCTGGAATTTTTCGAACTTTACGGACGTAAGTTCAATTACATGAAGATCGGTATATCGATCAAAAATGGCGGCCGCTATATACCTAAGGAGGATCTGCAACGCGAAATGATCGACGGTCATCGTCCGTCGTTGTTGTGCATTGAGGATCCGCTAACGCCAGGCAACGATATCGGTCGCAGTTCTTATGGTGCATTGCAGGTGAAACAAGCCTTCGAGTATGCGTACATGCTGTTGGCCAATGCTGTGAGTCCACTCAACGAATTCGGTAGTAATTGCGCCGAACGCACCATACTAGGTAACTTCCATTGTACTAACGGCAACTACATGAAGTCGCTATTTACTTGTTTCAATAATTTTTACATTTTTCTCATGCAGGGCGTATAATACGTGTTACCGATGATGTAATCGATTATCGTGAGTGGATACGTGAACATTTTGAGCATCTTGTGATCCCCCATACGCCCAATAGTGGCAGTGCCGTTAAGTTCATTCCGTCGATGTTACCGCCTGGCGTTCTGACACCACCACTGCAGCATCAGCA